CTGTGGGCCGATTTTGGCCACTGGCTTCGGGAGGAGGGTGGCCCGCGTCCAGGGAGCGGGGCAGCGCCGCGTGGTTTCCCGTGGCCGTATTCCCACAGGGAGCCACCCCTGCCTTCAGGCGGGTGCATCCTTCCCTCTGGCAAGTGGCATTGCGGCATCACAGGCGGCGTGGCCGTGACCCCGCGGCGCCCAGGGAAAAGCAGCTGGAGGCTGGACCGATGCTGGGGAGGCGATGCCCAGCGCTGGGGAGTGCTGGGGCTGGGGGATCTGCCTTGCAGAAATGTCCAAAACTCTCACACAGCTCTTCTTCTGCTGCCCTTCTCCCCCTCCCCTGTGTGTTTCAGGACATGGAGGCGTGAATCAGCTGGGGGGTGTTTTTGTGAACGGCCGCCCCCTCCCAGATGTCGTTCGCCAAAGGATCGTGGAGCTCGCCCACCAAGGGGTCCGGCCGTGTGACATCTCCCGGCAGCTCCGCGTCAGCCACGGCTGCGTCAGCAAAATACTTGGCAGGTAAAGGGGGGATGACGGATCCTTCTGTGTCCGTCAAGAGAAAAGTGTCAGTGCTGGTCCCTGAATTGAAGGCTGCAGACACATGGAGAATGGTAGAAACTTCAGGAAATCAGTCCGGTGAGCACTGGGGCTTCCTGACCGCTCATGGTTTTATACGCCTGATGCGGGAAAAAAGTGCCACTGTTCCTGTGTCTGGTTTGCCCCTTTCGCAGCTTCTTATGGGTAATTTGAACACGCAAAGTGCCAAATGCCGTGTGGGGTGTGTTTGCAGTATGTGTGGCATAAATCCTGCACCTGTCTTTTCTGAACAAGTAGGGAAATCCGGGAGTCATTTTCAGTAAAATGCAAAACAAGTAAAATTTCTGGAAGTTGCTCGCTTTGCTTTCCGAAGACGGCCCTGTTTCAGCAATAATCTCGTTACATATTGCATCAACATTGCCGTGCCATTCAGTCACACAGGCTATTCTGCAGTCTGTCCCACTGTTTAATTCAACGTCTTTTTGTACTCTTGTGCTGGAATGCATTCTTAGTTAGAGCACAGGATACCGTACGTAGCTATTAACCATCTTGATTTTGGCTCTTTTGGGAGTACATTCTGTTCAGGCTGGAGCTGCTCGGACCACTGTGGCAACAGGAAATTAAACTCCAAGCTCTCATAATTTCCTGATTTAGTTTTAAAATTTGACATCGATTCAGGCCGAAAATACCATCTTTGCTTCTTTGTATCTTGTGAATGAATCTGAACATAATTTGTGTAAATTACAGTGTTAGAAAGGTTTTGGACCCTGGGTATTCTGAGGTATTTGGGCAACTTATATTAAGGAAAACATTTTTTTTTTTTTTTTTCTTAGAATTTGTTTTTCTTGGTAACCTGGAAAAGTTAATTCCTCAACTATTTACTAAACTGTCACAGGTAACGTCATTGTTTAGAATTTTACCATTTTTATTTTTACCATCTTTTTCTTTCCCAGTTTTTAGCCAATTTGCGTTCCTGGACATAGCATAACTGCAAGGACTGTTAGGGCAATGTTTTTTTTTGCAGTATCGCGCCAGGGATCTGCTTGGATTAGCAGCATTTATGATCTGTCAGTGGCCAGTTCAGTGTTCAGACTCAGGCTGACTTGGCGCGGTCGCAGGCCCTGGCTTTTGTAGCTCTTCCCGCTCCTTTTCCCCTCTTGCCTATGCTCGCTTTAACGGGCAAACAGCATCTCCACGGCCCCGCGTGGCGTGCTTTTAGCAAGCCGCACGAGCCAGCGTGCAGGTTACGCTCAGCATCCCTGCTTTTTCTCTTACGCCTTCGTTGCAGGGAGCTACATTCCCCCGCAAGCTACCCGCGTTCCTGCCGGTGTCGGTTTGAGGAGATCCATGCCTTTACTGTTTTAGGGAGGAAAACTTTCCATGGGCTTTGTCTGAGACCTGCTTACCCATCATGGGCTGCTTCGCTCGGTTATTGCGTTGTTGCATCTGCTGCCGGCACGGGCTCCTGCGCCCAGCCTGGCTGGCGCGGTTTGGCCGGGGATGCTCTCTGCTGCGGCAGAGTTGCCACCAGTTCCCACCAGGACCAACGCACAGCTAAGGAACGGGCCGTTTATTTACCTACCAGGCGAGTGTCTGACAGTTTTACTTGTGATAGTTCGAATAGATTTACTGTTAGATATATTTGCACTATAGAGCTAAGAGTGAGGCTCCCGAGCTTTGTCATTAAAGTTGTCAACACTAAATTGGAATTTCATAGCTCATTATTTTCATAACTAATAATTACAGTGGGTAAAATGTCACTGTAATTGCAACTCTGTGTGCGTGTATGTTTTTTCATGTGCGTCTGTGTGTGTGGAAAACGGGAATCCTTGTGATAAACCCTTACATTTGGAGTTTTATCGTGGGAATCTGTCAGTCCTCGGTACAGCCTTAAAAAACATCCAGAGGCAAGGAACGAGCAGTTGCAGTGCAAATGAACCTCTCGCCCCTCGGAGGAGGGTACCACAGGGCCGCCCAGTCTTCACCTGCGTTGGCGACTTGCCGGGAGCAAAAGGCCTGGACCTGATGTGCATAAAATGAAGCCGACTGCAGCCGTCCTCGCCTTTAAAATGGAGACGGGAGTCAGGGATGCCCGTGCTGTGCAGCCCGCAGGCCCTTTGCCTGCGCCCGGGTTCGTTGCTCGGGCGAAGAGGAGAGAGGTGTCAGCGGCATCGCTGGGCGAGAGCCGTCCCCTGTCGCAGCGAGCTCTGCCGGCTGCCTGGGGAAAAGGGTCTGGGCCCAATCCTGCACCCTCTTGTCTGAGGCGAGTCTTTCTATTGACGTGTGCGTGTCTTTGCAGGGCTCGAGGTGGTGAGGGCGGGAGGGTAGGCAGCGGTTAGAGGATTTGGGAGTGGAGGTCTTGCTGTCCAGAGGGCACCAGGGCTTTGTCGCCCGGTGAGCTCACCGGTGCCGCAGCGTCGTGGCGGCGAGGG